ACCTTTCCATACACAAGCGTACAAGATATATAGAAACAGTCTTTACTGTGCTTGTTCTCTCCCCACGGAATACTAAAGAGCTACAGGAAAAGAAGGGCTACATGCATCAGTGGTTGGACAGAGTGCTCTTTAGAAGGGACAGGTCTCTTGTCTTTTCTTAACTCCCTGCTTATTGCTCGAAGGGTGTGTTCAGATGGCTCTTTAGATCCACGTGAGGCACAGGTGCCTCATGGATTTAAATGTAATGTCCAGACATCAACATCTGGGAAACATCCGTCTTCCGTGAGCATCCCATTTTGCTGCGCTTCGGAGCCGTACTAAAAAGATACTACTTTAAATCTGGAGTTTTCGGATCCGACGGGCCACTCGTGGACTTTCCCCCGTCTGATCATTCCAGCGTGCAATTAAAAATGGCACCCGTTTGGGATGGTCTGATGTCAGACCATCCCGAACGGGCGCCATTTTAAAAAAATCTTGATTCTGCGCATGCACGGATAACCAAGGACGCAATATCATGCCTATGCACATGCACAAACTTTTTTTAAAAAAAAAGCCACTATGTGTGTGCCTCATTCAGTGAACGCTGTCTAGACCATCCACAGCGGAAGCAGCGCATAGTAAGGTGATTCCCCCAGGGGATGTCTGGTCATGCGAGGATGGATTTAAAAGATCGGGATCAAATTTGAGCTGGCATAATGGTGGGATTAGCTGTCTGTCTGAATGCGCCCCCAGTCTACTTTCTGGTGAAGCCCATGGGCTTACTACTGTGTTGACTGTCACTCTGTCAAGGTCAGTATCATCTGGTCCGACTGGCAGCAGCTCACCCAGAACTCTTTCATATCACCAGTTAACTTTATCTGTTTTAACTGGAGATGATAAGGATTGAACCTGGGACCTTATGCACACAAACCAGATGCTGTACCACTGAGCTATGGCCTTTCCTGTAATGCATGGATTGTGGTACAAGCTATCTCCAATGGTGCACTGGGCCATGCCTCTACCCTAAGCCACCCTGTGCCAGCATCTGCTCCAGGAAACCCTGTCAGCACCTGAATTAAGCAAATAGAATAGACATAAATGTCTATTCACAAAACCAAAAAAAGTTCACAAAACCAAAATAGGACCCACGGTAAATAGGAAATACCAAAAACCAGCAAATACCGTGCTACAGACAATTATAAAATATCTCAAAAAAATTTTAATATATTTTTTTCCTGTTCAAAGCAACTCCAGTTGACTGTAATGGCTGCTGTACTACTAAGGGCCACATAGTTAAAATCCCAGATTTCTCTGTGTTGCCACAGTCCTAATCCTGAAGACACCGTTATGTAAAATACGATTCCAGTTTTAATGGGTTCACTGTCATTATACCATTCCTAGTTGTTTCAATATTCAGTACAGGGTGGATTTTTTTTGGGGGGGGTGGGGTAGTAGCCGTCAATTTAAGTGAAATACCTGGAAGTCATTCTGGGTTCTTAAAGAATATAATGCCTCTAGCAGCTGAAATATTCATTTAACTGCCATATTGGCCTAAAGCCATAGTATGTAACAGAAAGGATAATCTAATCCTCGGTTACTGTACTGAATCCATTAGCAACATCAAGGGAACCTGCAGCTAAGCCCAGAAATTCTCTCAGAATTACAACTGGTTTTCAGTTTCTGCTGGGGTCCTTTCCCTCCCCTCTCCAAACTCAGTCCAAGCTCCACCCCTAAATCCCTAAAAATTTCTCAAACTGGAGTTGGCAAACCTGTCTGCAGCCCATTTTGCACCTGGGCAGCAGTGGCACAGCTTTGTTGGGAGGTAACAGCTTGTGCGAGCCATGTTATACCCAGTGCCCCTCAAGGATTCGAGTAAGCTCATTGTTGAAAGAAAAGTAAGCATATTGTCTGCTAACTTTTCTGATGTTGTTTAGAAAAGGAGTGGTGTGGCTTTGCCTGTGGCAAATTAAATATTTTAAGGTAAGGGACCTTAAGAACGAGTCCTAAATCTAATGAATAATCATGGTCATGGAAATAAAGGGCAAACAGTGGTTCTGGATGATTTGCTATGCAAAAGAAGTGTGCCGGCACAGAGAAGCTTATACCCAGAATAAAACTTCGTTGGTCTTAAAGGTGTCACTGGACTCAAATTTTGTTATGCGAAAGGTTGTGATAAGTGTCATTTTTGAGTTGCACTGTCTCTGAATGTTCTCTTTCTGAAACCAATTTTAAGATGCTAGTTACTGTAATGAGATTTCTTTTTGTATCCATGGACTCTTGTGATTTTGTTGAACCCTAGCTAATGCCATACCTGCTGCAGCTCTCACATTCCTGGAACTCCTTAATGCAAAGTCAGAATCTAAATCAAATTCCAGAAATGTAGCATTTTTCTTTTCTCTGTGGGAGGAAAATATATCTTCTGCATCCTTTTCTTTGGAGGCCAACCTCACCATTGACCAGGAAGCTTAAACTGATTACCATTTTCTGATGCCTTGTTATATATTGATCAACATTCTTTTGTAAGGAGGGGTAGGGGTTGCAGGATGAAGCTGAAAAACCAGTTTTTTTGTGTATATCTGTTCCTTAGTTTATTATATTTATGATGTTGCTCATATTATGGTCATTGGTTTACTCTACAGAATTTTTGTTGTTCCGAAACCTTTATCTCCCTAATTACTGTGTATATAAAGGTAAAGGTAAAGGCTTCCCTTGCTCGAAAGCCAGACGTATCCGACTCTAGGGTTGTGGTGCTCATCTCCGTTTCCAAGCCGAAGAGCCAGCGCTGTCCGAAGACGTTTCCGTGGTCATGTGGCCGGCATGACTAAACACCAAGGCGCACGGAACGCTGTTCCCTTCCCACCGAAGTGCTACCTATTTATCTACTTGCAATTTCTTGCTTTCGAACTGCTAGGTTGGCAGGAGCTGGAACTAGAGACAGGAGCTCACTCCATCATGCGGCACACTCGGGTCTCGAACTGCTGAACTACTGACCTTCCACAGCCTGTAGTCGACTGCTGTTGCCTCCTTTAGAGTCTCTAGAGAATAGTTGCCATACATGAGATTTTGATAGCAAAAGCTCACGTTGATTCCACTTTTCCCAATTTGAAATTCTGACCAGAGGAAACTACCATTCTAACAACAACCGGTATCTAAACTGAATGTTCATATCTTTATATCTAGGCTTAATAAGAATGCTTTGAATAGTAACAGTTAGTTAGAAACAAGTGAAGACTTGTGGGAAGCATTTAATTTCATTCTACCCCATTATTTCCTTTTTTCTCTTTCCTGAAAACCATAATAGTCTCTCCCCTTTTACTCCTTCTTTCTCTCCTTCCCACCCAAGAGTGAACCTGCATTTATCTTTCCCTCCGTCTTCAGCTTTCCCGCTCCCCCCAGCAGCCTCTGCCTAGGAAAACTATGGCCAAATTGTCTGCTGCCGATCAGTCCTCCTTCAAAGGTCAAAACAGCCCTGGAAAGGACCTTGCCCTCTCCTGCTGCCTTTTCACTCAAAGAAACCCAGCCTAGAAAGCTGTGGGTACTTAGCAACAGTCACTGATGGAGTTTCTTAAAGCTACAGGCAATCTTTTTCTCATTTGGGGGCTTTTAAAACCCCATAATGTTGTTTTTTAAAAAAAGTTTTCAGATTGTCCAGCAAATCTGGGGCATTTTTCAGGTTTAGAGAAAGATCTGCCTTCCCTGTTCACAGCTCTAGTCACCAGGTTTAATTATCCTCAGATTTGGCTGATTTCACTATTACTATATAGATGATGATGATATTTGCATTTGGAGAAGTTTTAAGACATTTGGGATAATAAAGCTATTATTAGGAGCCATTTTAGGATCAATCTTCTTTATATGTCCATAGTATCTTACACAAGCTAACAAAGAATGCAAGGACCAAATGACCTATCATCACAGTTGCTCTTTCATTGTAATATTCTATGGCCCCTGCCACACGACAGGAAAAAAGCCTCTTGAGGCGTGGCTTTTAAAAGCCGCGCCAACGTTGAAACGCCACGGCGGGATCCCACGGATCCCCTGGCCGCGGCGCCGTTTCTCCCCGGCGCAATCAAACGCCGGGGAGAAGACATGGCTCAGACCGGGTGCCGGCCGAACTGCGCATGTCGGAGCATGCGCAGTTCGGCTCCGGGCCGGGATTGTGCCGGCGCAAGGGAGCGCCGGCGATCAGACGCCCGGCCTGCAGTGTGTCTACTCGTTGAACCACCAAGGTAGGTGGTGTCAACTTGAGGCGCTTTTTCCCGGGAAGGGCCAGTTCGGAGGCGGAAGCACGACGCTTCCCAGATGTTCTGGTGTGATCGCGCCGGTTTGATCCGCCCCCGAACTGTCCTGCTCCCGGGCCAAATTGCCTAGTGTGAACGGGACCTATGAAGAACATATGCAAAACATACATACAATCATTGTCAGTTCAAAATTCTTTTAGGCCTGTGTCTCAGTCGTTCAGATTCCTCTGTTTTGTGCAGTCAGCAATTGCATCCCTAGCTTCCCATGGATGCTGATTAGCATCCACAGTCCATCTTGCTAGTTGTTTAGGGTCAGAGGTCCATCTTCAGCCAACAAAAGCATGCATTCTGAATGTAAAAAGCAGATTCCAGCAAACCAGTTGGGAAACACTTCCTGTGGGCTTGTGAACCAGTAATGGTCTATGGCTTTTGGTTCAGGATGCACTGTTGATGAGTTTCCCTTGTTGAAAAAAGTTACATGCTCAGTATACCATTTTTTTTTTGTTCTAAGTTTCCCCCTAAATTCAAGCTTCTACAAATTTGCTGAGGAATTCGGAGGACCCAGGGGTTCCAATTTCCACCTTAGTGACTTAACAGAAAGGTGCGATCTTTCTCTTAAAGAGTCTCATTTGCTTCAGTGCTTGACCATTAATTGAGAGAAACTTGCTACGTTGCCAAAAATGAGCCCTTCCAAGCATGATTGATGCCAGTGCAACTGTCTCTTACTGTTCTTGCTGCAACATGCTTAAACACCTTGGAAATGTTTCCTTGAACTCCTAGGTCAGTCTTATGAAATCCGTCTCCTTGAGAATAGGAAATTGGGAGAGTTCCAAGATTTAAACACAAAATATGTAAAGGTAAGGAGATTTTCTTCCTGCTGCTACATACAGACATGCTATCATTAGGCAGTTGGCCATGCCATTGAAGGACAACTTAACAGTCAGAGCAGGACTGGGGCGAGGGTCTGTCTTCTTAATCGAGCAGGATGGGGTCTTTTGGAAAACCACAGAAATTTTGGAAGCCACGTTTCCAGCCTTCCACGCTGATTACCTGAAGGGAAACCCTTATATGCGCCCATTATAACTCCCCTGCAGGGGTCATTTTGTAGAAAAAGAGGTGCAGGAGGTCATTAGCATAACTTATTAGCATAACTTATTTGCATATGCCACACCCCATGACATCACCGGAAGTGTGTCAGAAGGCAACACCCACCGCTCAGGCTCCATGGGACTGTTTTGGATTCCTAGTTATTGGGAGGGGGGAAACGTGCAGATCTGTCCTCACAGAGGAAGGAGAGCTTGTACCTGAATAAAACTTGGTCTTAAAGGTGCCACTGGACTGTTTTGGACCGGGGTGGGGGGGGCTCTGCAACGTACTTGGCTGCTTCTTGCTCTGACTGAGGGCTGCTGGGAGCAGAGGGTGGGGCTTGTTGCATGTGCCAGCCCCCTGGGCTCTTTACTGCCTGAGCTCCACTCCTGTGTGCTCCTGCAGGAAATGACCCCTGCTCCCCTGTATGTTGTAGAAAGCTCCAGCATTTGTTTTAGAAGGTGGCCTTAGTACATTCCTAGCTACTGGCCAGACCTGTTAGGCCTCCATGTTGGCCTGAGTGAGCTGAAGGCTTTCAAGAATCAAGCACTTTACTGGAAAAGATTAATCATTGGCAAGGTGTATTTTCTAGCAAACTAGCAAAGCTTGTCTCCCAGTGCTGATATTCCATCGGGCCAACCCAATAAGCTTCTGGAGGAACAGAGCATTCCTTGGAACAAAGTGAAAACCACTGGTGTAGACTTTCTACTAGTAAGTAACATGGCAGTTTCAAACTGAAAAGGGCTTGGGAAATTAGTGCATGTTCACTCGTGATTTGGAATGCAACCCAGGTTGTTGTCATCGTTGTTTTACTGCTGTCTATTATAATGAATATTATTCTGGCAATGCTATCATTCACATCTTAATACATACGACTTTTATGGGGTAGCAGGAGTGGATTGGTTGTTGCATGCAGCACAGCCTTGAACAGGTCAATTCATGGTTTTTGATAGATTTAGTAACTTGTAGATTTTTTAAAAATACTCTAAAATATTTGGGACACCAAAATATAACATGTGAACTAGCACTTAAAACCACTGTGGATTCCTTTCATGGATAGCCAGAGCTTCACAGATCTTTCAGGAGATACACAAGTACACAAGGAATATTCATCCCAGTCTATTTCGCATTTGATAAGCAAAGCCCACAAATTCAGTTAAATCCTGAGACAGATTGCTGTGGATCTCTCCTTGCTCACACGCTTCCTCATTTTAGACAGATCCCTCTTAGAGTGTATTCTCCCCCAAATAAATGTTCTGCTCAAATGACTTTGCTTTTAACCAAAGGGAAGCCATTTGCCAAAGCAGCATTTTGTGCTGTGCCTTGCAAAGGCTGCTTAGTTTTGCTTTTGTGTCTATTTGCCTGCAGCCAACAAAGAACTTTCATGGCATAGGTCTACGTTTTGTTTACGTTTTCTCCAAGGTATCCATAACCTGTACTGGTTTTAGGTCTTCAGGTATATGTTCAAAATAGTTTAAATATACATCTTCAAGGACCAAGATCTTATCTTCGTTTCCCAAGTGGGATGTGAGGTCTGACTAGTATTGGTATCTCATGAGCCAAATGATTCATGAGAGATACTACAGTATTGTATACCTTTTGTTGCTCTGTGTTTTGGGCCATAATTAGAGTATAATTTCCCTGGTTTCAGGTGACAGGTTATTAGTTTTATATTCAACATAATTCTACTACTATATTAGTTGGCCTGGCCGAGCTATTTTTTTATAATCCATCTGATAGGATTCTGGTGGTAGAAAGAGAAATATGTAAGGAAATTTGAGAAATATAAAAGAAACTCCCCATTGTTGTTGCAATGCTTGGGGTATTTAGTGATAGGGAATCTACAGAAAGCTACTGACCTTGGAATTAAATGCAAGGGGCTTGTCTTCTCTTGCTCCCATGACAGCAAATGAAGGTCATCTGCATTTTTTAAAAGTCCTTTAATTCAGTTTACTCCGTTCTCTCTAAACAGAGCATCATTCGAGTGGTTTTTCATGACCGACGTTTGCAGTATACAGAGCACCAACAACTGGAATGCTGGAGATGGAGTCGGCCTGGAGACCGCATCCTCGACATAGGTGAGAAACTTTCATTATGATATCCATATAAATATTAACTTTGCAAGATGCCTTTTACAATTTATTTTCTTAAAACATTTCTATACTAATGTCTCTTTGAGGTAGTTGCCATGCAGTAAAAGCATAAACTTTCAACCCTGCATCTCCTTGCTGGGTAATACCTGAAAAAAATAACAATACCTATTTTTTTCATAGTATATTTTATGGTTCTTCGTGTAAACAGCTTTTTTCTGGCTGTCATTAACATTACAATGGGAACAAAATTAAAACTAGCAATTTTTTAACAGTATTGAATTTCAAAATACGTGTTTCTGGTTAGGTGACTTTTCAAATGGGTCTGGTATTGTAATGTTGTTTCTGTTCTTCAATTTTAATTTTTTTAAAATTTTAGGGGTTTTCTTCTACAGATATCCCACTATCCGTTGGTATCTTAGACCCCAGAGCCAGCCCAACACAATTGAATACGGTTGAATTTTTGTGGGATCCATCTAAAAGAGCATCAGCATTCATTCAGGTAAGGCTGGAAGTAAGTAAATGCCTTATCTGTTTTGGAAATGTCATCCAAACAACTTATGTAGAATTCCAAATACAGGACAGAAGCCTTGCCATTCTTCTCTGGGCTAGATTTTGTTTCAAGGTACTACCAAAAGCAAGGAAAATTTCTGTGAATAACAACCCAAAATAGAATAAGATTTCATGTAATGTGAAATGTGGATGGAAGTCTACACTGCTTGTAGATTCTGAAATGATAATAGGAATATCCATACAAATATATCAAATGAATTCAAGGGAGAAGGTGCAAGTTATTGCCATTCAATCAGGCTAGGTTGAAAAGAAAGTAAACAAGCACTTCTTGATCCTTCTGTGAGTAGGAGATAAGTGCCATATTCTTCAAGTTTTCAAGCAGTACCCAAAGCTATTCCTAGGCATCAGACGAAAAGCTCTGCAAGGTCTGCAAGTTTCCCAAGAAACTTGGGAAAAAAGAGAATAAAACGACGTGCATGGAAATTTAAAATGGACAATAAAATACTGAAGTTAGAGCTGTTGAAAGTTAAAGAAGGGAGGCTAGAATTAAATTTCCACACATTTAAAGAGAAAAGACATGTTGACATGCTGGTACAAAAAAGCAAAATGCAGATACATAGGGAAAAAATTAAGCTATATGAAGGGGGGTGAAATGCTTTTTTTCCCTTTCCTGATACATGCCTGGCTGGAAAAATGTCTCTAAAACCTCTGTTAAGGGGATACTGAATATAGAGAATAAGTCTGTGATGAGTATATAAAAAAAAGAATATATTTTTTCCCCTTTAGTGGTAAACGATTTAAGATAGACTAGGTAAGAAAGAAAATTTCTTTTCTTTTCTTTTTTTTGTTCCTTATGGATATATGCCCATCTGGGAATAATTCGAAATTATTAGTAGAATATCATATTACAGTGTCGAAAGTTATGAAAAATCAGCCTAAAGAGAACAAGGTCAAATTTTCAATTAAGACTATTAAAAATAATTTGAATAAAATGTGTAATTTAAAATTTAAAAGGTGATGGTAATAGAAGGGGTGTTTAGTTGTGGTAACATGTTGAAGTAGACAGTATAACAGTGGCTAAGTGATGTTTGAGATAGAATAGGTAGGGGAAGAATATTTTTCCTTATATATATAAATCTAATAGGGAATAACTGGAAATAACTAGTAGGAAAGTTGTGAGAATCTTGCCTAATGAGAATAAAAACCAATCTCAACAAAATGCGCAATTTGAACTTAAAAGGTGGTGGTAACAGAATGGGTGTTTAGTTGTGATCTCTTATAACCTTATTGCTAAACTGTAATAAGCTGTAGTAAAAGTGACTTGAAAGGTTTATTACTCCTGCTCCAAATCTAATTGGGAAAATTGAGTCTATAATCCTAACTATGGTCCTGTTCATACGAGCCATTTGGGCTGGGAGAAGGACGGATCAGGGCCGGAGCAAACGGGTGCGATCCCACAGCAACATCTGGGGAACGTCGTGCTTCCGTCTCCGATCCGTCCCATCCCGCCCGTACAGCGCAGCAAAAAAGAACCACCTCCCTAGGTGGTTCTTTCGGATGGGCCGCGGCAAGTGTGGCCGTGGGATCGCCGGCGCGTCCTTGCGCCGGCGCATCCCCGACTCCTGGCCGAACTGCGCATGTGTGAGCATGCGCAGTTCGCCAGGCTCCCCTTCGCACCGTCGCATTCTCCCCGGCATCTGATCGTGCCAGGGAGCGATGCGCTGCAGCTGAGGGGATCCGTGGGATCCCGCCGCGGCGTGTCAAGTTTGTTGCAGCTCTGCTTCCAGCCGTCCCGTGTGGCAGGGACCTAAAATGGGCTAAAACTTAATTAAAATATATATATATAAGTAAGAAATTTATAGACTTCAGGAGTAAATGGTAATGAAATGGGATTAATAGTTTGAGAAGTTGTTAGAACCTTGCTTTGAGAGAATAATGTTGATTCTGAGTGGTGACTTGAAAATTAACCTGTAATATCAATTTTAATACTTGAACAAAATGTGTAGCTGAACAAAATGGGAAGTTAAATTTTAAAAGATGGTTCTATCAGAAGTGCGTGCTCACTGGTGAAATGTTATAAATGTTGTTGTTGTTTTTCTTTGCCTGGCTATGTTACTGTATAGAAAATATTCCTAGTCTATGTTTGTAAATTTGAGTCTTTGGTCTATATGTTTGTGGTGTATGTGTTTATTATCTTTGGAAATCTAATAAATACATTATATATATAAAAAGAAAAGTTCTGCAAGGTGACTACAAAGTACTTTAGCATTCAGTTGAATACTTCCAGTAATGGGGAAGCTGTAAAACCTGTGATGTGGGTCTGGAATAGGCATTTCCATGGGGCACAAGTATTGTTGCCCATGGAGTACGGTTTTCCTGCCTTCCTCCCTTTCAAAGCAGCCTGGTGCCCCTGAAATTCTGCTCTTGGGAGTTGGGTTCCCTTTCACCCAGTAAAAGGATTTCAGGGGGTATTTTGGGCTGCCACAGGAGTTGGGGGAAATTGTGCTTTGTTCTGGGAAATCCTTGTGTGTGTAGAAACATTAGTCTGGGTCCAACCCTGTATATGCAGATATAGCCCATGCAAATCCTTCTTCAGTCATTTTAAATTGATGCTACTATACATTCAGCGGGCAGCAGTCCTTCAGAAGCATCCAAGGCCACTCTTAGACTGTGCAAGCAGTGGGCTACCTCTTATAGCCAAATCACTAATATATTTTGTAAACAAACCTTTGCAGGAAATTGTCAGATATAGGATGCTATAAGAGAAATGCAACTATTGCACCACAGACTGGCTGCATTATTTGTACTGGGTCTTCCTACATAATACTTATTGAATACTTTCTTTATAAAACAGCTATAGGTTCTGCGCGTAGCTCTGATGTTGCCCCAACAGCTTTGTGTAAGATGTTTACCTTTTATTTTGTATCAGGGGAATTTAGCAAAATGGCAGAGCTCGCGAGAGGTGGGGTAGAGAGTGAGATCTGGCTACCAGTGTTGGCAGAGATCTGTCCTTTTAAACTCCTCCTTTTTTTTGGAGCCAAGAACCAGGCCACTATTAAAAAGGAATAAGTTTATTGTAGAAAAATATCAGAATTTAAATATATACACACAGATCGAAGAGCATACACACAAGATATTGGGAAAGAAAGGAGGTCATGGGGAAATAGAAGGGAATGGGGAGTTTTTGAGGAGATATGTTACCAATTTTGGAGGGCTGGCTAAGCCTGATGTTCTGGAAAAGGCGGTACATGACAGTGACCAGTGTGCCATGCACAAAGGCCTGATATGTATCAGGGGTGATGGTTTCTCTGGGCACCCAAGCTCAATCACACTGGGCATGTGGCGGAATGGTATCTTTATACCCCAAAATGTATCCTGAGGGTATGGTGGCATCGATCATATCACAATGGTGTGATGGAATGGGTGACATAGATCATATCACAGTGGTATGATGGGATTCGTGTTGCTGGACAAAAGGAGTGTCTGGAGTTTCCCAGGTACTCATCACAAAAGGTGAGATGTTCCCTAATAGGTGTGGGAATGAGGCTAGATGGTGATTATTCAGCTGAACCTGAAAGTTAATGTTTTCCTTGATAGACTGGAATAAAGCAGGGGAAATGCAAATGCAGGACAAACAACTGGAAGAGTCTGACAGGAACGGCATGATTAGTCAGAAGCAGGGGTCATTTCGTAGAAAAAGAGCTAGGGGGACTCATTAGCATAACTCATTAGCATATGCCACACCCCCTGACATCACCGGAAGTGTGTCCTCCCCACAGCCGGCGGCGACCTCCAGCAGGCACCAGCAGGGAGCTCCAGGCCCCGCCCTCCCGCACCTCACCCAGGGGGATGGCGTCCCCCCGCGTCCCCCCCCAAATGACCCCTGGGCAGAAGGGAGAAATACCATTGAATCCATAGTGTGACAGGATTTGAGACAGGAAGTTGCTTACAAACATAATCCATTCATACCAGAGGAGATGGGCTAGGTGCTTTGCCCTTCTGTCTGCCTCCTGGTAAACAATAGGCAGCATCTTAGCCATTAGTTGTGAAACCTTGAGGCCAGAGGCAGTGAATGTCCAGCTTTTTGTTCCACAGAGGCAGGGCTATTTTTGGGCAGGAACGCACAGGAACGGAGTTCCGGCTGGCTCCCAAGTTGGCCACGCCCAGCAGGAACTCATTAGTATAATAGGCCACACCCAACAACAGAAACTTATTAGGATTGGCTACATTAGGGGTGTGTGGCCTAACACGCAAAGGGGTTCCTGCTACAAAAAAAGGTAAACAGAATAAGAAGTAAGAGGTGGGTGTGGCTGGATGACCACACTTCTGGTAACATGGGGGTGCGGCCTAATATGTTAATATGCTGTGCTGTCAGGGGTGTGGCCTAATAGGCTAATGAGTTCCTGATGTTGGGTGTGGCCTATTATGCTAATGAGTTCCTGCTGGGCTTTTTCTACAAAAAAAGTCCTGCACAGAGAAGTAGGGAGGAAGGAGGGGGGAAACTTGGAGGAATTTTGACAACAGTGTTAACCCTGTCGTGCAAATGTATCTCTTGACACAAGACAATGTCTCTTAGTCTCCTAAGCATCTCACCTCTCATGCCAAGCCTGGCTATTGGGGTGCAGTGCTGTTAGGAGGTTCAGAGGTTCTCCGGTGTTGCGGTGTCTTTTCTCTCATGGAAAGACTACCCCTGTTGGGCTGTTGCCGCTGTTACACTGACACAGTGACTTAGTTCAGATATAATGTGAAGATCTGGTTTAATTAAACTCGATTCTTTGAATGTAGGCCATGCCACTTACTATGATTAGCTAGGGTACTCAAATCAGGATCTGAAGTTATTAGATTCATTGAGTCTTGATTGTGGTTTTGTATGATATATGAACATGGGCACCTCGCTTCTAATTCTCTCTGGGTCCAGGAACACTGGCATGCCAGTTTCATATATGAATAATAAAAATAAAGCCATGCCAAAAGAACCCCATGTACTTCTATAAGAAAGTTGTTCACACAAACACTCTGTTTAGACCTCCTCTTGCTTCTTTGTGGGTCACTGGTGAGACGTGGCTTGTAGGAATGTTCCCAGAATGTGATTAGTGTGTCCATGTTTGTGAGGAGGGGAACCCTCCCCCCAGCTATGTAATACGTGGAATTCCAGGAAGAGGGGTAGGTGCAGGGGCCATTTCCTGCTGGAGCGCACAGGAGCGGAGCTCCAGCAGTAAGGAGTCCAGGGGGCGGGCACATGCAACAAGCCCCACCTCCTGCTCCCAGCAGCCCTCAGTTGGTCCACGAGGAGCAAGAAGTAGTCAGGTAAGTTGCAGAGCCCCCCCCCCGACCCACCTTCAGGCACAAGGTCTCCCTCCTCTGTGAGGGCAGATCTGCGCACTCCCCCCCCCAATAGCTAGCAATCCAAAACAGTCCAGTGAAGCCTGAGTGGCGGGGCTTGCCTTCTGACACACTTCCAGTGATGTCAGGGGTGTGTGACATATGCAAATAAGTTATGCTAATATGCTAATGAGCTCCTGCACCTCTTTTTCTATGAAATGACCCCTGGGTAGGTGTGTAAGGTATGCAGTAGCTGCTGTAGGGAGCAAAGGTGGTATGAGAGAGTGAAATTAGGTTGCCAGATGTGGGGTGAAAATTTTGGTGGGGTATGTTGGGCACTTTGAGTGCTTGTGCAAGTTTGTGTGTCTGGGGTAAAGTTAAATCATCAGCAAAAACGCCAATTCTTAACAATCGGTGTGGGTCAAAAGACTGAATGTGAAAAGTTAGGAAGCTTCCTCTGGAAGTGGCTGAGGGAAGGGACGCAGATTTGTGACTGCATGCCATGCCAGCCAGTGGCAATGAAACGAGTGACACAGCAAGGCTTTGCCTTTAGTCAGGCACTCCACTGCAGGATGGTTTACAGTAGAAGCTCTGGGGGAAAGGTGTGGGACTGAACAAGGATTTGTTGAAGCAGACTATAACTGAGGGATCAACTGTGAGTGAATCCTGGTTTCAGAAACTGCAGAAAACAGTTTTTTAAAAAACTCATGACTTGGTGTGATATCTAGAGCAATTCTCTAAACAGATTTGAAATCTTACATCCTATGTCTGTGGTTATAGAATGCTGATCAGGACCAGTTTGTTGTTAAAACAACCCCTCTCACTTTTTTTGACTAGGTACACTGCATCAGTACAGAATTCACTCCAAGAAAACATGGAGGAGAGAAAGGAGTACCCTTCCGGATACAATTTGACACATTCAAGCAGAATGAGAATGGCGAATATACAGAACACTTGCATTCTGCAAGCTGCCAGATCAAAGTGTTAACAACCCCTCTCACTTTTTTTGACTAGGTACACTGCATCAGTACAGAATTCACTCCAAGAAAACATGGAGGAGAGAAAGGAGTACCCTTCCGGATACAATTTGACACATTCAAGCAGAATGAGAATGGCGAATATACAGAACACTTGCATTCCGCAAGCTGCCAGATCAAAGTGTTCAAGGTGTGATGCTATTGTGGCTTCCAGAAATTCTCCTGGTACTCCAGAGGGTTGGGGTTTTTTTATAACCTAGTAGCTGCTCAATGGCAGAAAATAGGCTGGCAGTGGAGGGGGTACTAGGAAAAGAAGAATGAATGTAGCTTAGAAACCTGCCCAAGAAATGCTGACTCTTGAGGTGCAGTTGAAACCCAGAGGCTGAAACACAGGTGCAGGTAGGTCAAACATGGGCTGAAACAAGATGTCATTTGACAATGTATAAAGAAGTTACATATACCCCATTTACTTGATGCAGTGTGCCACACTTCTGACAGTGAAGAAACCTGGGACTCTCTAACTCCACCAAAGTATAATTTTCTTGGGTTGTTTCTTTTTCTGTACTGATTTCCACTGTTAGTATGGTTCTTTATAGTTGTGTTTTGAGTCCAAGTAGCAGGGACACAAGCACTGCTGCAAACAACAATCAGATTTCCATAAAGCACAATACAAAGAGAGCAGGTTTAGGACACAGTGGGTGTGCGATCATATGTACCAAAAGTGGCGGCAACGGTGTAATTCCCTCGTGGAGCAAAGGGGCGTGATCAGACACATCTGTCCAGCATCCTGGAGTTATCAGCACTGCATCGTATCATGCCGCAGAAGCATGGAAAAAAGCCACCGGGTAAAACCTTCTAGTATACGGAAGTGCAGGGCGTGCGGCCGGAAGTCTGATCAACCAAACGCGTGTCATTTTGGCCCGGGGAAAACAGCCTCACTTCCCACCCACATTTTCTCGCTTGTGTGACCACAGCCAGGGTGAGGCAATTGCTAGATTGGAGACAGTCAGGTTCAAACCCCATATAACAATTCATGTTATAAAATCTATGTGTGGTTCATTCGTCTGGCCTAGACAAGTTTACTATTAAACCAGCAGTGTATTGTTCATCATAATCAATTTTCACTAGCTGTGAATTAGGGTGCAAGGAGTACCAAAAGCAGAATTAATACACTTATTTGGACTGCTTTAGGGATCAAATGACTTGTGAAAATGGTCAGATATAATAGCTCCTCATTCTTCCAGTTATAGGGTATCTTATGAGATGCCAGCAAAGCTTACATTAGAGGACATCTCACTGGGGTTTTTTAAAATTTACACTCCACCTTTCCCACTGAGACTCAAGCGTGGGTTCCACAATTAAAAACAAATGCAATAGGAACAGTATTCAACTAAATGAAATAAAGCACATGGCATCACAATAAAAACTGGATGACTAAATTAGAGAATGCACTAGAAAGATAGTATATTCCATGCATACAATAAAAGGATTACAACATTGAAGAGTAATACAAAAAAACCCAGTATAATATACACAATGTTTTATTTTGTAAACTACCTCAGGCATAAGGAGAGGTGGCATAATTTTTTTCTAAATAAAATACAATGAAAACTGCCTGAAATTTCAGACAAGGGGTTGAATCCAGATGAAAGTAGAGATTTTTGTCAGTTCCCCTTTACTGCTCCAGACCCTACGGAGGCCCACCCTATCCCTCAGGATCCCTTTTCCTCAGGAGCAGCATTTCATGGAGAGAGACTGGGGCATGAAAGAGGAAGGT